AAGTACGAAATTCACTAAATTTTTAATACGCATATTCCTCTTCCTTGTTGTTTTTCTGATTCACGCAGCAGCAGAGGCACATTGTGAGGATAATTCCGAGGAGCTACAAATGTCGATTTTATTTTTATATCATTTGAGATTAAATCATAAGGTTAATAAGGTATCTAAATTTGTTTTAATATTACCTGAATAATACCAGCAACCACGCATACCACGACAATCATCGTAAGCCAGGTCTCGCTGAACTCGAAAAGCGCATCAGCACAGCCCTAAAAATCATTTTTTAATTTTTAATAGTATGAAATAGGTGATTTGTATAAAACCCACCTTCTCATGCAAAAATTGGGTATAAGTATTGAGAGGCTGCGTGATGAAATGACATTCCGCAATTCGAGGGGTAGGGGTTGATGCCATTTTCGTTACAGCAAGATGACGGGACTTCCTAAAAACAAGAAGTTTAAAAAATATAATAAAAATCGAAAATATGGTAGGTTTCTATACCTTAAATACAGTATTACTTACCAAATCCATTTCCGCCCACCCACAGCTCCAATGCCATGCCTGGGCTTTTCATAAGACTTGGTCGCTTCCTCCATTTTCGAGTCCCAGGTAGCGCCCAGCCAGTCTTCGTACGATTTTACCTGCAGCATTCAAAAATCCAAAATACACATATAAAAATTATTTTCTCTACTAACAAGTCTGATCTGGTCCATAGCCGATCGGATAATTCGCGTCAGTCCCAGAAGCGGTTGCGTACAGTATCGTAAGTGCTCGCCTCTGACGAAGCGGCGGACGTTGTGTGATTTCAAAAGCCATGAACGCAGCGACGAGCTCGAGGGCAAAGACGACGATGAGGAGGACACGAACTAAATTTTGTTATGCAATTGAGGGGTAGGTAAGCTTTACGCAAAGGAGGGCGGGCTGGTTCAGCTTGTAGGATCCCCAGCAGCCACAGCAGCTCGAGGAGGCGATCGGCAGTCCGACTCCGACGAGGAGCCAAACTGATCCATCGCCAGGAGCCTGATTTAAATATCAATATAAATATATAACTATTGTAAGTGGAACACAAAGTTAAAAATTAAGCTGGGGATCGATTTTTCCATCATTTTGTCATCTGGAAAAAGTTTCAATATACTTTTAAATTCTTCAAGCTTAATTTTATATAATTTTTTGTAAATGAACCTAATTTGATTAAGGCTGCTTAATTTATTTTAACAAAATTATTTACCTGGATGCGTGGCATTAACAGCAAAGTAATCGCTCGGATCGGCGATGCAAAGCAGGTAAAATGGAGGTCGCCAGGCACACGACGTGCTTCCCAGCTAAAAATCGCAGATTTTCTTGTTCCTTCTTGCTTTCTCTGGTTTTGGGGCCCCTGATCTTATCTGGGTCCCAAGATCTTGGCCTCTGGTTGGACCCTTATTTACGCTGGGCAATTGGGGCCATTTTTGTTCGGCGTCCTAGGTCGAGGATCTGGAAGAAAGAGAGAGACGGGGAATGGCTTGATGGCAAACCAAAGAAATTCTATTTAGAACTGGATTTTTGACCTTATGGATTTGCCTTCAAGGCTCTTTAGCTCATCATGAAAAGTTTTCAAGGTGGCTAAAAAATCTGGAATTTACAAAAGCTATCTTAAAGATTTTCGCGAAAGAATTTAATGGATTAATTTTGACGAAGACAAAAATCAGAGTTTTGTCGTGTTTTCAAGTGATTTATTGGGCATAAAAACTTGAGCATGAGTGCTTCAATCTTTCAAAAATCAGCCTTAAGGTTTAAATCCTGAATTTGGGACAGAGATAAATCGACCAATTCAGTATTACGATTTCGTCCGGAAATGGTATTTGGGCGGTATTTAAACAATGTTTATAGTTTGGAGATGTTTTCGAGTAGCTATAAAAATCGCCGATTTCATTTAAATTTTGGAACCAACAGAATCTACTTCCTTAAATTACTACAATCATCGTCGATTTTTTTAAGAGCAATTGCGGCCATGTCGTTTTCTAGCGAATTCCATAGTTTTTTTAGAGCATACGTCGAGGTGTTTGTAGTTTATACTTAACTTTCGTAGTATAGATATTACTTTCACGCCGTTCAGACCCTCGCCTATGCCCCCAATCACACCTCTCCTCCTCGTCCTCCTCCCTGCCAGAAAGGATAAACAACGGTGTGCGCGTGGCCAGTGTGAAATCGAATCCAGCTGCTGGTCTGCCGGCCCTACGAGACCCATTCTCCCTCTAGCTATCCCTAACCACCTTTTGCATACACACCTCCTCTTGGTTCACTCCCACTTTTTCATCTTGACGCTTGGAAGACAGAGAGCGAGAGGAGCCTGAGATACAGAGCAAGATTTCCTCCTCCCAAGCCTGGAGCACCAGCCCCAACATGATCCCCGTGGCGCAGTAAAAGTGGCCCTGTGACAGGCCCAGGGGGGCTTCCCCCTGCCTCGGCTCGTCCTCCTGCTCATGGACACTGAAAAATCAACACCGGGATAGAGCAAGAGATCCGCTTTCTGTTGCTGAAAACGATGTGGTGGAAGATCGTTGGGGCAGTGGTTATTTATGGTTTTTTGGGAGGAAAGGGGAGATCGGAGGTTTCGAAAAAATTATTTTAATTTAAAGAAAATTTTATTTAAAATTGTGGAGCTGAAAATATCAAACACGACAGTAAATACAGTGGGAAGCTGAAAGTAATATTCAAAAATTCCTGGGATTGTAGTGTAATTTGTTGGGAAATAACGATTATAATCGATATTTTGTAAATTAACAAAACTTAAAAGCAGCACAAACATAGATTTGGGCGCTGAATTTAGATACTTTAATAAAATTCGCAAATTTGGCAAGCAAGATGAGGACCGTATCTCCTGTCACCACCCCTTTGAAACCAACATTGCTTTAGATTTTTACCAAAAACTCACCCAAAACAGCAAATTAAAGATGAATAACAAACTCTGCAATATCTTATCGCACCCCATTTCACCGAAGTAACAAAAAATAAATAATTCTAAAAATCGATAGAACTCAGCACAGATTATCGATATTATGTAGGCACCAGAAAGCTGGCAAAAAAAAGGAACACAGCCCAGGCGCCCGGATTTGTCCCCCACACCCCCCCAGGAAAGAGAAGAGGAGGAGAACGAGAAGAAGGGAGGCTCAGGAACCTTCTCTGGGAGCCCTGAGGCTAGCCGCGGCTCAGGCCTTGGCCATAGCCTTAGGGCCCATTCGAGGGACCCACGAATTTTCTGCTCCCAAGGGGGCTCAAATCAAACAACTCTCGCCGGTTCACTAGGCACCACACTTTAAAAGCAAAGCTGCGAAAGGACTTCTTGGGAGGTGGGCTTGATTTGAGTGTATGACAACTTCAGGAATTTTTGGCAGCCGGCTGAATGTATGTATGAAATTTAGTCTAGAGGACTTAGGATGATTTTTTAAAAGGGGGTGGTGACAGCCCGGGCTACACAAATTTAATTTAACCAAAAACTTTCAAAATTATTTTTTAGTTATTGTTGTATTTAATATGAATTTTTACACGGCGCGACACGCAACTCACACAACGCCCTCAGCGTTTTTAAACGCGTGATGGAATCGCGCCGAACTTTTGAAAATCCATTTAGAAATCTTCAAAAAGAAATCCCCAGCCTTCAATCCATTATCTCACCTTGCACGTTCCTTTAAAGGGATGGTGCCAGCAAATGATACTGGCTAGATACCGGGCCTCGCACTTTAAAAAAATGGCGCCAGAACATTTCAAAGAATTAAAATTACATTTTTAAAAGTTTAATCAGCCTTTTCATACAGTGTTTTGGTCAAAATTCAAAAACCACATACAAGAGGTTGCGCAACTTTTTCTAACCAGATTTTGGCTGTAAAACACTATTGCAAAGAACAGCAAAATCAGTGACTTTAGCGCCAGTGAGATGATACATAAATTCTAAATTCCAAATTCAATTATATAACCCAATATTTATTCGCATGGCACGGTATTCAGTGTTCGCAACACTAGGTTCCCAATTGCAAACATGTACAACTCGATTGTACTGCAAATGTGATTCAACCCTTTTTTGAATTCATCACTAATTAAAAGCTTTGAAGAGCGTTTTGGACCAGGAGCCCCAGCCGAATGAACAAGACTGAAATATATAAATCATTAAATTGATTCAATATAATTCGGAATTTTATAAAATGGGATCTTATAGAATTTCACTTTTTGTAGAGTATGTGAAAAAATTATTTTCTTAAATTACCTCTTTTGCGCCGGAATCTTCGTATTTCTGTTTAAGGGTGGCCTTGAATTCAGGACCTTTCTCGTTGACGATGTGCTGTAATTTGGAAGTTGTAAAATCTAGCTGTTTTATTTAAATCTTAAAATAACAAAAATGATACAAGCTAAAATACCTCCTATAGTTTTCTGGATGCTAAAGCTGAGACTGCTTCCACAGCTCGACCATTTGTTGTAGCTGGCGCATTTCCAATCGCACCCCTAAATTAGGCGAATAAATCTATATTAAAATTTATTAATTTAAATATTGCTTCACTCGTTTAGTTTATTCGTTTCATATTTATTATTTTACGCAACCTTCCATTTTTTTGAACGTACAGTCTCGAAAACCCAAAAATCAGCTTAAATTCATGCAAATCGGATTTCCACTCTGACTCATAGTACGAACAATATCTAAAAGCATCTCACCTTGTTGATAGTGCAATTCGTTGGTTCAGCATTTCCACAGACGCTAACAGGTTAGGACACCTAAAATCTCATCAAAAAATACCGTAAGCCAAGTTACCTCGTGGAAATCATGCTGATCACAAGCAAAATCGACATTTCCTTGCACGTCAATGCCCTAAAATATATTAAATATATGGGGCGCGCTTTTCCTTTTCTTAAGAAGGCTACAGTGTTTAAAAATTTACCTGAATATCTGGGAATGCGGCTTTGATGATACCCTCGCTGGGGAGCTTCTCAATTTGATTACAGGTCAAAGCTAAATGAAAGAATGTAGAAAACGTTTAAAGAGCGTACCAATAAATTTATAGCCGTAAAGAGGCGTTTCCGGAATTTGAAGTTTTGTTCGGCTGCCATGGTCGCATCTAAAAAAATCAAAATAATTTCTCGTCGTCAGAAATCCCACCGTATGACCGCATCGAGCTGGTCGCAGACACAGCCATCCAAACAGTCGGGGTTTTGTGAGAAGGCGACTGGAAAATCAGTAATGAATCCAAGTTCGCAATGCGCTTGTAAAAGAACCTGCCATGCATATCTGGGTCATTTTTGCGTAAAACACAAGTATTTTTGCCTTCACTGCCCCTTTAAACCACTGAAACGCGTGATGAACTTTTGAAAAATGACATTTTACCGTATTTGATAGAAAATCCGGTTTAACGAAAATTAAGAGGTTTTAAAATTATTAATATCCTTTTGCCCTCCCCCCCCCATAAAACCCATAGGTTTTCCAGGCTTGCGCGTTCCTTCAAACTACTCAACTGCGCAAAAAAAAACGGCAGAAAAATGATATTTTACCGGATTTTCATAAAACATTGGTCTAGAGGGATTTAAAAGAAATATTTTAATCTTTTTGTAGAAATCCATAGCTCTTCCAAGTCCCTTTAACCCAACCCAAAGACCATTTCTTGATCCTCCATCTTTATTTGTGGTTGCAAGCCTCCCTCCGAATTGGACCCACCCGACCCCGGGGCCAACCGAACGGCCTAATGAGCCGTTTCCGATTGGGGCAAATATTTGGTATTTGAGGAAGAGGAAACTATGGAAAGAAGCCCTTCACGCACTATCTACATGTGTATTCCGGTGCCTCTTGAAATCAATCCTCGATGAAATTCAGTTCCGCTTTGATCGAGAGCTTTTGGGTCGATTTGTCATAATAAACAGTGGTGTGGGTGCCAGGGACAAGAGAGAGAGAGAGAGAGAGAGAGAGAGAGAGAGAGAGAGAGCGAGAGTGGGGCGCAAACAAAAAAAACGGGATAGCATGAATCATAATCTATACATACAAAAATTAACGATTCTAGAAATCACTGAAATTCCAGAGATTTGAAAATTCCTACAGTAGCCCGTTCAGACTAGAATCTCACTATTTAGTCGAAATAATGTTATTACAGGCAAAATTTTTGTTGTTGAGCACGAGGCACAAAAAATACCCCTCAAGGTCGCGCTACATCCGGGGAGGAGTACGATTTCCATAGCGTGAGTCAGAGCCATGTGCGGAAAATCGATGCGGATCCTGTTTTTGGGCTGGTTATCAGGGAGGATGGATTTTGGGAGGCGTTCGGGATGAGCATGAACTTTAGAAAAATTCACACGGAAACGAATTTAAACAAAATTTAAGGGTTTAACTCAAGGAAAACACCAAAACAAGCGCGAAACGCAGTAAGAACTATATTTTTGATCAATAGCGACCTTAAAAATCGATAAACCAACCAACCTGTCGCAAATAAAATACATATGGCAATAGATGGGAGCATGATTGGAATCGTGTGGTCGGGAGGGGTGAATGAATGGCTAGAGGGGGATGGCCGATGAGAAGGGGGGAGTGGGTGTGGGATGGAATGGAAATAGGGGAAGGGAGGGAGGGAGGGTTGTGGATGAGAATAGAGTAGATAGAGATGAGAATAGAGAGAATAGAGAGAAAAACGCAATAGAGATAGAGAGATAGATAGATGACCAGACTGACGGGGTCACACAAAACAGATGGACTATGGCAATAAACATTGGGCCGGACGGATTGCCGCTGGGGTTCTCTTTAATGAGCGTGGTAATCTATGGTCGGAGAACCAGATGCCCAGAAAATTGGTTATCGACGCTCTAGATTTTACCGCAACCGCGAGACCTTAACCGCGCCGCGCCTGTCGCGCTCGCGGCACAATGAAAGGCGTTTTTGATTATTAAACCTTTTCTACTTCCGCTCACAGAGCAACTCAATTTTTGAGCCTTACATTTAGCAATATACGAGAGCTCAACCGCTACGCATCGGAGCATGCGTTGCGTGTCGCGGACTCCGTGCAGTAACCGCAACGCATGCGCAACGCGTTTTAGTCGACGTTTTCCGTGGCACAGTCGATTACGAGCTTTTAACGGCTGCGCATCGGCGTACGCGTTGCGTGTCGCCGCCGCGTCAGATCTGCATGAATTTTGCTGCAACACGCGAAGCGTACGAAACGCGCAAATCTCCAAGCTTTCAGTTGGACAACCGCTACGCCTGGGACGCGTTGCGTGTCGCGGGGGGCGACACCATCCAGGCCTGTTATATAGGGCGATTTTTCTCCATATGTTTTTCCGCCCCGCTACACGCAACGCATGTTCCCGCTTTAAATAGCATCACAGTTTCCAAGAAATATTTACGAGCTCTGAACCGCTGCGCATTGGCGTACGCGTTGCGTGGTCAGTCATTCGGTTTTTGCATGGTTTTTCAACCCTTTTCCAGGAAAAGTCATCGGGGGAAATGTGGCAGCACGCAAAATTCACAAGAATATTTCCCAACAACGGCTTTCGGTTTCACTCTCCAACCAATTTCCCAAGTGTCTTATTTCCATGCTTTACTATCAAGGTTTTATTTCGCACACATCGTAAATCGAAACACACAAGAGCCGGTTAGCATATCTACACCAGTAAATTTACAATTTTCTTAATGACATGGGCGCGGTTCTGGGCTTAATTTTTCTTCATCTCCGTCTTGTGTTCCGGATACGGCGAATCGGCCGCAGGGTCCTTCTTTGTACCATGGGGGAGGAGTGGAGTAGCACTCGAGCTTGTCGTCGATCAACTGTAAAACGATGATTGATGCTGACCCTCCCGATGTTTCCGAAAGAATACTGCATGCTACAGGGACGGCATACCACGCGCACAGGCAAACACTATCGGCCGCGGCGTAATTTATTAAGAAATTCTAGTCACAAGACGTTTTATAATATTAATTAGTGCTTCTTAATATACTATCAGAGTTTCCACGTATTTTTATGAATTATTTTTATCGTTTTAATGTAAAATTGTTTGCGATATATGCAAAAAGAGTGCTTATGACCACCCGAGACGATAGTACTTGTTAGTGCGTGTGGTATGCAGTGCTACATGAAGCCCGGCGGGGGTTTCGTTGTTTCAAATTTTTTAAACTTGTTACTTTCGACATGAGGTTTTTTCGCATTATGGGGGGACGGGATCAAGGGGATAAACTTTTTCTTAGGATCCAATTTGCCGTTCCGAAACATAAAAACTCAGCAAATTTTTATTAAGGAATAGCAAAGAGAGCCGATTTTTTGCCAAAATTCTGACTTTCATTTTTTTTAAAATTTAGATAGTTTTTCTAAATAAAATATAGCTATGGTTTGCCCAAAACACTATAAAATACTTTCGATTACGTTACTACAGGGTGTCCCAAAAAATCGATCCCCCCCTCTAGCTGTCCAGAGAAAGCTCTGATCGGGATGATTTATACACCATCCGAAAGCCCTTGAAACGGCGAGAAAACAAACGCTTTTCGTTTTGCAAAATTTCTAAGCTCGCGCTTGATATTCAACGCCTTCTTAAAAAAATGTAAAATCAGCATCGCGCTGTTATCTTTGGCAAGCAATCAGCCTGCGGAATTGGCATAAAATCTGCAGTTTTCATGGATTTTGGCCCTAAATTTAGTGAATAAAAAGGCCTATATTGAAAAACGCAAAGTACTGATTTTCTCGCCTTTTGAGGGCTTTCGACAAATACCTAAATACATAAAAAAACCTAAATGGTCAAAATCAATCTGCGAGTCGCTAGAGGGATGTGAGCGATTCTTTTTCGTGCACCCTTAATTTCCCCCCCCCCCGATAATGCGACAGTGCCCGGGACGGCAATTGTGATTTTACTCGGATGATGGGTTCTACTCGTTGGCTACCTAACATTTTCAGGCTCGGCTTACTGTAAAGTGTTTTTACTCAACTTGGAGTTTCGATTCGGGACCAAGCGCATCTTGTGCAGAATTTTTCGCTGATTCCGAATATGTTTTCCAAATTTGCTACGGACTTTTATTTAAAAAATCATTTTTGGTAACAATTAGGCCGAAAAATGCCAAAAATTCAGACGCTGGCCCACTATTCCTTGTTTGGGGCTATATTTCCCAGGGGCCCTGAAGTACCCTCTGACAGCACCCGATCCAGTTGGCACCATGGTGCATTGGCAAAGTACTCGCTTGCCAAGCGCAGGGCGGCGGTTCGAACCCCCGCCCTGCATCATTTCTTTTGCTTTTTGCATAAAAATCTCATTTATTTATCTAAAATGCTTGTTTTGAGCTGTAGGTGCTTGTCGAGCCAACGTCTAGTCAATTTTGACATTGAAATTAATGAAGAAAATCGAAAACTATAACGATGCCTCCATTTTGGTGAAAACTAGGGTCATAATTGCCGTATAACTTTCAGAATAACGGTCCGTAGCAAGTTTGGAAAACATATTCGGAATCAGCGAAAACTTCTGTACAAGATGCACTTGGTCCCGAATCGAAACTCCAAGTTGAGTAAAAACACTTTACAGTTAGTTTACCCCCTCCCCCCCAGCCGAAAGTTTTTGGCTATAACTTTTTTCTTTTACATTACTGTAGGCTCAGATTAAAACTCTTAGTATATTTTCGACGCTCTATCGAATGGCGTTGCAAAAATCCCGACAAAATAAGCGAAACCATCGGAAACTTTCAGGCCCGTGATGGCTGTGGGGGAGGGGGGGTAAAGTAAACTCTTCCCATTTTCAAATTCCCAAAAGGATGAGCATGAGCATAAGCAGAATTAGGTACCGAGTTCGGCGGCGAGGGGCAAACGGCGATCATCGAGGTTGTTGTGCCGGGTGACGCGGTTGTAGCGATATCAAGCTTCTTGCAGCGCCCGTCCTAAAAAAGGGTTCTTGACTGTTAGCTTGAGGGGGGGGGAGGTTTGTGCGAAAAACTTGGTCATGATATCTATTGTATGGTTATAGTGTTTGGGTAGCTTCCGATTGCTATGAAACGGTTAGAGTTTAGAGTCAAAAATACCGAAAACAAAAGGGATGATAAATAAAAATAAGGATTGATATAGAAAAGCTTACGAGGTGTGCCAGGTGGTGAACGAGTGGCAGGGCGCCATCAGGTGTGTTGTCGCCCATGTTGCACAGGAAGGGTAGAGAAATGAATGACGGACCAGTTCCCGATTTTCTTTTTATACCCGGAAACACGGAACTGAGGAGCATTCAAATGAGGCATTTGGGCAAATTTCAAACTCTTCCGGTTTTTCAGGTGGATTCAAATTCTCGGATACCTGGGCACAATAAGCGTCGTAGGCAACAGCAATAACGAGGTTTTTGCCTAACCAAATGCCATATACTAATTTTTAAATTTTGGCGGACTATAGCGCTATATTTATGCGTTGGCTTTATATCTTATATCCTTATATTTTCGCTGAATATCCGATATGCAAATTTAAGAAAATTTTGATTTGTAGTATGTTTTTTTTCGGAAATCATCGCGTTCCGCTGCGTTCAGTCATTATATCTTGGGTTAGCGCATTAATGGAAAGTACGTCTTGAGTGATGATTTGTGGAAAATTCAACGTTATAAGCGGCCTCGAACGCATGGACATTTGACCTCTCCCCCAGCCAATAGACAGGAGAAGACACCCCCAGGATTATCAGGTGTCGAAATAGAAATGCTGATAAAATGCGATAGCCTGCAGCGGCGGAACACACCAGCGGTTTTCCGAATTTTTGCGCTTCAAATTCTAACAATTCTAATCTTTAATTGCCCTGCTTCCAGCGCTTAAAAATCTATTTGTTTTTTAAGCAATCAACTTTTTTTAGCCCCTTAATCCCTAAACGATAAAATTCATTCCCGAACACGTTCATCCCCGAAAATGACCTTCGTCCTATCCTATCTTCCCCTTTTCCATTCCCTGTAGGTCTGATTTATGGCCCCTATCAAAAAACGGCATTCCCATTTTATGGCCCTTTCTCTAACACGAATACAGCCTCTGTGGCCTCGCGCAAAAAAACTCCCATAATCCTTATCGAAATGCTGAAAACCCACCCGGAAAACGTGGCTTCGTCTTTTCTCTGCGTTTTTTAAAGGATTTTATTGATGGATTTCGTCGCGCTGTTCGTGCTTTTTTTGTTGTGGGGTTTGGTTATAAAATGGCTTGTTTTAGAGAAATCTGAATTCTAGGGAGATCTTGCTGCAAGCGGAATTTTAAGGGAGGCTTGCCGCGTCATTAGGTGCGTAATGTTCAATAGATAATTCTGCACCTATTAGAATTTTCGAAAAAGTCTTATTTGCTTTACTATATATTTTTTATATATTTATATATATTTATTTATATCCGTTTTTATATATGGAAAAATATTTTCCTTTCTCCAAATTAGTTATGAAACAAACCTAACCAGAAGCGAACGGCGGTTTTTTTACATTAGCCAAAGACCCGGTTTTTAATGTTTTATTTTAATAACTTTATATTTTAATTTTTAGAGAACTAACAAAGCACAGACGAAACGGGCCAGAAAAAGCCCGCGAAGCGGTTTTTTAACCACATTTTTCATTCAACCCTCAATTCCCCTGGCATCAATGACAGTCGAGTCAGATGAGTGTGGAGGGTTAAGCTCTGAAGTGCCCCCTCTTCACTGTTTCTTTCAACGTTCTTCTTCTCTTTATACCACACGTGCCCCTTCCTGCCCCCTTTCTATTTGGCCTCAATCGGCTTCTCCCCTCTTTTTTCTCATCCTGAAATACGTCAATGATGGTCCCAGTCAGCCAGCCCCTGCTAAATAGTTCCCCTCCCCCCGTGCGCGGTGCTCATTTTCTACGTCGGTTCGCAACTCCTCGAAAAAGTTGTTCTTTAGTGTCTTAGGGTGCCAAACTACTAAAACTTGTGCCTTTTCAGTTAGGAAATTGCTTTAAAAACGCTTAAAACGGCCAGACTTTATCTACAGTACTTCCGAGTTTTCGTCAAAATCCTTTTTACAGAAATGTATTGTCCATTTTTAACATTACCGCCCCTTGTGGTGACTTCCGCTTCAAGATATTGGCCGTCTTTTGTTCCATAAATTGTTATGGAGAGGGTTTAGAAGAGAAGAATAGAGAACTACTGTGGGTATCTCAAGTGTCGCTTCAACCCCGGCTTAGGCTTCAAACTTGGGTAATTGGACCTAAAAGAGGTGTCGACGTCGAAACAACCTCAAGTTTTGGCTTTCCCAATGGTTGATATCGGCTAGAATGATCCATGAAATAACATAATATTAGTTTAATTGCTATTGCGATTGCGAATTTTGTAAATGGCGAATCGACCGACCGCAAAATAGCTCCCTGAGGGTCTGGCCCTCCGCCAAGAAGCTGATAGAATTTTTGTCAGGCACGAAAATATCTCTCCTTTGAGAGGATACAATCAGGCCGTCATCCAAAAATTCGTATCAGCCGCCCGGGGTACGGGTTTTTGATTATATTCGAGTGGTCGAAAATCGAAATGCACTGCCCCATGGCCCTGCCCCTCGAACCTCAATGCGGGGGGTGGTCCAGATGGGGGGCGAGTGGGGACAGGCCAAGAAGCATCCAGAGAACACACAGGCAGTAGCTCCCTGTGCCCTAATGTTCTAATAGCACTCGCTCTTTATGCTAACTATTCCACACTGTAATTTATCGAATAGTAAATCTTCAGAAAATTTTAAAAGCTAAATTTTACTAAAATTGGGCAAAATAGAGTGCTTTTTTGATTTAGAGAAGGAGACCTACGATAACCACTTTTCTTTTTTTGAAAATTAGAACCGGCACTGTGACTTCAAGCCCAGATTTTCTCAAGATAAAGTCAATTTTTAGAACATGCTTTTAGCGCCTGGTCGCGAGTTCAAAGGCCAATTTCCCGATTTCGCTAAAAGCCGCCCAACAAAAGCATGACTTCCATTAATTCGGGCCCTTCAGAAAGCATGGGACCGTTTGAAAGACCTCGTGCCATTGAAATTCCCATTTTTCATGTTCAAACAGGATCGAACGATTTTCGATTTGCGGCGTGGGAGGTTCGCAGCGCGGTGTGGAACGTACAGTTTCGTACTGTAGCTAAATTTTCTAGCTTTAAAAAGTGCTCTTTATTTTCCCCTATTAAATATGTTTTAAAAGAAGCCGTAAATTTGAGGCATTCAAACAGGACCTCGGAAAGCTTAATTGGACGTCTTGTGGAATTTTAAGTCTTATAAATTGTCTTTTTTAAATATATTTTCATCTAAGCGGCGTTTTAAAAGAGCTTCAAGATTAATTTTAAATTTTCTAGACATTCTAAATTTGATAAAACCCGGTGTTTTTATGTTTTATGGATACCCGATTTTTTTAGAGCCCTGGACAAAATCCTAAAAAAAGACAAACACGGAGAATTAATTTAAAGTCTTCAAAACTTCGATTTAAATTTTCCTAGGCTTGTTGAATTTTCAAAACCCCTTATTTTCATATCTGATAGATACAGCCGATTTCCTGGGCCCTAGAGACACCTCTGAGATACGCGGAAAACGGAGGCAATTAGCAGTAGATGGGCCAACAACCCCGAAAAGAGCTCTCTTTCCGGGCCCGCTAGTCTCTTTTTTCTCTTTTTCGTGGTTGCCGTGGTCGGGTGATGCGTGGCCCCTTCAGAATGCGGTCCTCTCCTCCCAGAATCGATGAGTGTCCGACACCCGGCCAAAAAAACTCGGCTTCTCTTTTGGCTCTTTCGATGCCCTGACGAAGCACAAGCAAACGTACTTTTAAAGGGTGCTGGAACTGTTATATCGCTTTAAAAAATCCACAATTTTTTAGAAATTACTTTAGAGTAGATTTTTGTGATTTTCGGCTTTCGAAAAGGACCTGATAGCTGATTTTTACCCCTACAGCTTTACTTTGTCAATTTTCTTAAAAAGTAGGTTTTTGCCTTATTAGATTTTTTGTGGGTATCTCTGCTTCTCAACAGCTTCTCTTTGTTTTTAAGTTTCAGAAAATAGGTGAATTTCTACAATAAATTCATTATTTAAAAACTTTAGATTTATATTTCTATTTTTTAAACGGATAGTTTTTCACGTAAAACTCGTTTTTATTCCATTTTTTAGCGTATTTAAATTTAATGAAAGCTGATTTCATTGCTAATAGCAATCCCCAAAGTCCAAAGCAATACAAACCCCTTATCAACCCATAAAAATTCATGCTTTTCCGGGGCAAACAGCTGAATTCTAGCTGGTTCCCGGGCGTCGTTTTCCTGGTTCGTTGGTTTTATTTCGTGCTCCCTCTTCTCCTTGAAATTCCGTATGTCAAAAGAATTCAGCCGCTGCCTTTTCACGTTAATGTTCGTGTTTTGAATCTCCTCCCGGGCTCGAAAAAAAAATCAAAAAATTGCCGGGGCGCGAGGTCTCGGCCCGGGCGTTGAGAGCTTATTTTTTATACGAGGCCCTCGGAGGGAAAGGTGGAGGTAGTGTGGGACGGAGAATGAGGGTAAGAAAAAGAAGAGGTAGAGCAGATCCAATCTCTAGAGGCAATATTTATAGCCTCTAGAGATGCTCCCCCTCTTTTCCTTGGCTGGCCTCTGTTTGCGCAGGGGGGAGGTTGTCTTCAATTTGTGATCTGATCTGATCTCTCGACAGTCGCCGGGGCTCTCCGCGGGGGGCTGGTGCTCCTCCCTTTTTTGCGCGTCCTCATCCACGGCTCGTATCGCGATAGATACGGCCATCCCCCCGATTTCACACCTTTTTTGGGGTTTTGTCGGCATTTGAACGGAACTGTGACCGGTTGATGGGGGGAGGAGTTCGCGGGTCATTTTCGAGTTTAAATTTTGGGAGCAGGGTGAGCAGGAGCTCATTCTCCTGGATTTTCAGTTTCGAATTTTTATCCTACAGTATCTCAGAAATGAGAACTATTTAAGATGAGGGCGAACAAAAGCTCCTTTTCTCGAATTCTGAGAATTTATCGTCCTATACAACAAAATTTAGACTTTTAGGTTGACGCTGAACAGGGCTCATGCTCAGAAATTTTCAGATTAATTTTATCGTACACCATCTGTTTTTATGCTAAATTAAAAATTTTTGAGAGTTAGTAAAGCGAGCCAGAGCTCGTTCTCACCGCATTTCTGCTCCAATTTTAGACTATGGTACCTCAATTATCTATCTTAAAGTATCCTTCAAATTACGCCGTTTTGGAACGGGATCAGGGGAAGCTCGTGCTCATGGATTTTCAGTTTCCGATTTTGTTCTATACATATCTGCTACTAACCTTACCGTATTCGCAATTGCGAAGATTTTAAATGTTAGTGAATGGAGCAGGAGCTCATACTCTTCCTCATTTTTATTTTTCAGTATTTTGTATTCTATTTTTTGATTTATTAAGCATTGACCATTTCTTAGCCACGTTTCACTTCAAACTCCTTTATTTCCAGATGAACGGCAACGATCTTCGCCTCCAAAATGAGCACCTCGCCAGCAACACCGGCGATGATAGACTCTACCATTTCGGTCTTGGCAAGCAGACCACCGACTTGAAGCAGTTCAGCGACGTCAAGGTATCAATTTCTCCGTTCAACTTAAATCCCCAGTTTAAAGTTTGTCTGCACCGGAGGGGCCGGGCATAGGATCCAGATTTATGCTGAGCTGTTCTCGAAGGAGACTGGAGTGGCGGCTTCTGGAAATTTGTCAAACTCGGATCGCTATGTTCTCTACAAGACTGGACCTATCTTGTGGGCTAATGTAAGTTATAAACATGCATTTTGTGCCAAAAAATCGGGCTCCGGCTCCGTTAGCGCTCGGGCACTCTAAAACCCAGCCTCCTCTAGACCTCCGGCTCCTCTCGAGTCACCTCGAAAAGTCCGATTGTTATGCTGTTGCTCTTTATCGATAGCACTCCAAATTAAAAAACGCCGTTTTGTTTGTAAAAAATGACAATCAAAAATGATTATTTTAGCATGGCATCGGCACTCCATCCCTCTCGGTCATGCTCAACGAGATCTTGAAGCTGCTCGCATACGCCGGGGCCAGTGATGTCAGCTTTTTCCGACTCGGCACTAGCGGTAGTGCAAATAGATTGATTTGTCATCAAAGCCAACTTTCCTAGGGGGTATTGGAGTGGCGCCGGGTACTGTAGTCATCTCGAATGGAGCCATGAACGGGGAATTGACGGATAAATATGTGATGTATATCCAGGGAAAGCGGGTAAGTAATTTTTTGGGAGGACGAATTTTAAAGGCGCACGGACAGCAGATAATTTCGCGGACAGTTCGAGTTTCTGTAATTCTAAAACTTTTCATACAGCTTCATTTCATCTAACACCTTGAAAATCCAGAGATTCAGCATCTTGAAAATACCTTTAAAGTCTAGATTTAACGTTAGAACAACCTAAATAACTTTTGCTATAAACTGGGCCTTTCGAACACCTTTAAACCCTACATATTCACCCCTGTTTTGATTTTTATTGATTTTTCAGGTCGAAAACCCACCCACCTCGACGAAGGCATCCGAGAAGCATTAAAGGCCAGCGCTGTCAAACTCTCGATCCCATATGCAGAGGGAAAGACCCTGTGCGCTGATGATTTCTATGAGGGCAAGAAAATAACAAAATTCTTATTCTAAGTGATACTTTAGGCCAAATGCGCCTCGACGGGTTCTTCTGCAACTACGGTGCCGACGAGAAGTTCGCATTTTTGCATCGGCTGAACGAGCTCGGGGTTCGTAACATTGAGATGGAGAGCACTTGCTTCTCCGCGACGACGCTGCGCGCAGGAGTGAAGGGTTGGTTTTAAATCGGGTTTAAAGGTGGTTGGAAAACAAATTGAAGCCAAATATATTTAAAAATTTCCTAAAAGTAGCCTGAATTTTCTGACAATTGTCTAAGATAGTGAACTCGGGCTGAAAGCGGATTTTAAAGGGACGTGTAAGACGCCCAAAACGTACCACAAAAAACACAAAACTTTCGAAACTACCATAGAGCTAGACTAGACAGGATGTGAGACCGTCTAAAACAGGCACACCTGACTTGTCGACATTTTAAAGGGAAGTGGAAGACATAATGCTCGAAAATTCACTATGAATTAACTTTGCAACGTTGCCAAAGCTCTAGGACCCTGAATTTTACCTTCATAGCGCCTTTAAACGCTCGTAAACTCACTAAAAAATAATTTTGGTATCTGCAAAAGCTCTAGGAATCGGAATTTTGCCTTCGAAAGCCCTGTAAACCCAAAATTTTCCAGCCGCAATTTGTTGCGTGACGTTGCTGAACCGAATGGATGGAGACCAGGTGAATATCACGGCCGAACAGTATATGGAGTACGAAATGCGCCCCTTCCGCGTCGTCGTCGCTTATATCAGGTATCAAAAATCGTTTTTCCAATACATCACTGTATTCAGAAGCCTTCTCAACATCTGAAGAACCCTAAAAAGCGCCTAAAAACACGCTCTACGTACCGTACAACTAGAACCGTCAGAAAGCCCCTAATTTTTAGCATATAGCATTCAGCCGAATCGTCAAGTGCCTATTCTGCTTCTTTCTAAAACTCGCATTTCTTGGGTGTCAACAGCCTTTAATAGGTGATTTCTTTGTATGAAATATTTTTTGATATATCCCGATCAGTAAGAGTACGATTCTTTACAAGCAACAATGATCCCCATCTGTGAAATTGGCAGTATTACTATGTACGGAAGTCATTTTAAAAATTGAATAAAGTTTATTCGAAAAAAATCGGTGGAAAGTGGAAAGTACACAACAATACACACAACACAACTAGGGTGAAAGAAAGAGGAGAGGTATCTGAAGTTTAACGCCGTTTTATTTTATAAAAACCGATTGAACCCAGGGTTTGGAATCGAATTCATCAATGAAAAAATTAAAAAGTGTTATAATTATTATTAAAAAAGATAATCAAGCTGGCAGCTCGAATACCGGCAAAAATGAGATAAAAGTGGGATGGAAAACACCGGTCGAATAAACCCATTTTCGATTTGGAGAATATTAAAGGAATCGAGAGATCGTGGGTGTCGTGGTTTCTGGGGGGTTAGATGCAAATTTATGTACAACAATTAGGTTAAAATCACATTAATGGGGTTAGTAAGAGGGCTTCAGGCGTTTCAGGCGTTTGCAGAAGTTGTAGCGGACCTGGAAAATTCATAAATTAGTTGATTTACAGTTTGTGGACTAAAAAGCCTTTGTAGTATTGCCTTACAAGCTTAAAACACTTAAAATTTAATTTTGGTATTTTTAGGCTTTAAAAATATTGATTTAAAATGCTTAAAATTGGGTTTAAAAATACCTAATTCCTAAAAATAGAAATATCACCTAAAATTATTTAAGAAGCGTTCAAAATACTTACAATAGATATATATTACAACAATAATCCTTTATTTTTGATAAATTTGAAATTCAAATTACGTAGACATTAAATTAAGAAATAATCGTAAACTTTTAATTTTGCTTTTCATCCATTTTATCGTTAAAAATCTTGATTAAAGGGTAATTAAGATTACATTAAATCAAAATTTTTATTTTTAAGAATTTTTTAAGGTATTTTATGCTTATTTTAATGTTAAAGCCCGCACCTGACGCCACCGCTTCGAGAAAAATCGATTCAACGCAAGCCCGGCGGCCCCTATCGGCGATTTATCCTCGTTGAACTTCCGGCAATTCGCGAACATGAGCTCAACATCAGCATGGAAGTCTTCAGCAGTAGGGTACTCTCCATCATCAGCTTTCTGACGCATTGTCAGCATATCGATAGGTTGATCAATGACATCCAAATAGTCCGGAACCGCCTTTAAATCAACCGGCTCCAGAAATGGAAGGGAATGTTCTTGGGCTTCAAGCTCGTCGAGCATAGTTTTGGCGAGTTCAGCGACCATTGGGGCTGGGAAGATGATGAGATCGGAGCCTGGCTTCCTTTTTGGGGGTTTTCGACCGCCGGGGGTATCTTCGGAGCCTGTTTCTGAGGGGAGCACGAGGTTCAAGTTCACGTTCAAGGATACGGACGGATTTCTGAAAATTAGAATTGGCAGGGACGTCGCAAAAAATCATTTAAAACTGGGCCTCAGTCGCTATAAGTTAATCCGCACCTTTCTTCCCTCACAGGCCGCACACTTATAAGTCGATGGATTTTCCGGCGTCGGCTCCCCGGCGCATTCGGTGTGGAAAAACGCGTGGCACTTCTGGCAATTGTAGATCGGGGTCTTGTGATCCGAGCAAAGCAGGCAAGTCGGTTTCCGGGATGCCGTTTCCTTGCATTTTGGGCAGAACCACTCCCCTTCTGGCACTTTGTCCATCGCGGGCTAAAAATTGGATAAAGAATTTTAGATTTAGATTGTAGCTTACCTTAAAGCAATATAAATGGTATCCCAGCTCGCAGAGGTCGCACAACAAAAAAGCTTGTCATCGTGATCGGAGGTATGACAAATCTGGCAAGCCGCCTTCATCACTGATCTTTCCCAAGCAATGTTTTGCTCCAATACCTAAAATATTCATGTTTATTTTTGTTTTCTTGTTTTATTTTTGGTTCGAACTGCCCATAGATTTTTTTAAATCCCTTACCTGTGCCAAAATCACAATTGAAGCCGGGGTAGTAGCCTCTTGAACAGCTTGCTTCCAAATCTCGCACAGCTCCCCCTCTTCCTCTTCGTCATCCTCGTGCTCCTCCTCCTTTTCTTCCTTTTCATCGTCCTTCTCCTCTTTCTCCTCAGCCTCCACGATCTGGAGGTTTTCATCAGAGACGTCGAGTTGTGGGTCGGCTTCCACGATTTTAGCTTTTTTTGCTTTGGTCCTTGCCCATGACGCGTTTGATCGAGATGGTTTCACTAAAAATTTCATAATTGTATTATTTTAAAAATTCAATTTAATAAATAACAATTTTCAAGATTTTTTGACAACCTACCCAGCATAAAAATCCTGCCTCAAATACCGGGGTTCCGTATTTTCTTCAACCTCTAGGAGCCGTTTTCTGAGCTGCTCCATGGTGGGCATCGGATCAAGGTGAGCAACGTCAGGGACTTCATCAACCCAATTTGATTGGCTCGTTTCTTCATCCGGTTGGTCAAACGGTTCGAACGGTGGTTTCCAGCCCTTCGTTTGGAGGTGGGCATCAAAGATACGGTTTTCGAGCTCGCGGAGTGCGCGTTCGGCTCGGAAAATTTGTTCTTCGCTGAGGGCTTTTGGGTCGGATGGGGTTGAGACGGGGGTGAGGTCCACTAAAAGAAAAGCATAAATTAAATTTATCGATTTTTTTGAGAGCCATTTTTAGTTTAAAAAACTTACAATGTGCCCAGTGTTGCTCCTTCAAAAATGAGTCTCTGAGCAAGAGTCGATGTAGAGCTCGTTCTCGAATTCCACGTCCATGAAGGGAGTCACGAAGCGGTTTTAGGTGATTTCTAAATGATAATTTTAATTATATTTTAGGACAAAGGCTATATTGTATTTTTAGAAATTGTTACTGTTACTAGCATTATTTTTATATTTACTTACTCAGCAACAGTCCACCATCCTCGTTTTTGCATGATTTTCAAGGCGTCTTCTCCTTTTTGGCTTCTTCTTATCCGGTTTTCCGGCAATTACCTATATACAAAGATTATAGAATATCGAAAATTCTTACCGCATCGATAGTATCTTCCAAACAAGCAATTACATCCGGATGGATGAAGCTTTCGGGATCTAAAAACGAGCGTGTTTAAAAATTTCTTACTCGACTTATTCGCCTCAATTTTATACATATCATATAACCATTTGATTAGTTTAAAAATTACCTGTAACCCCAACCGGATCAAACTGGCACGTCTCGTTCAAATTCACAGATGCGTTGTTTTTGGCGGCACTTTCGACACCTTCCACCAAAACCCCATCGACAGTTGGGAGTTGCCAATAAATTCTAAATATATATAATAAGCTAATTAATGATTTAGAATACCTATGGAATCGATCCTGACCCAACGGGAAGGTCCTGACGCGATTGCAAATCACGTTCACCTTCCCTCGGATTTCATCGGCCTCCGCGTTCAGACCCACGATTTGGTCCTCGAGCTCCTCAACGGTCTTGTTTTGCTCCTAAAATCAGAATTAATTTATTATATAGCTACGTTAATATAGTACCTCTTCAGTCAACACCTCACATTGACCAATCCCAGGGGTAAAGGTTTTCTTAGCGGCTGGAGATGGGGAGCGGGAGCTAAAAAATTGAGTTCAGCTTTGGAAACCTAAACTTACTGGTCGCTCATTGGACTCTCAGGTCGTTCTCCTTCCGGAGCATCACCTTCTTGCTTCACTTTTTCCTTCTTCTTGGCCTTCTTCGTTTGGACTCCTCGAAGGGCTCGGACCTAGAGAATCAAAAAATTTTGTAAAATTGAGAAATCTTACCTTTCCTTCCCTCATCCACCTCTCACCCCTGAGTTTTGAAATTTCTTCAAGATTCGAATCGATTTCCCGAATAATATTTCTAAAAATCACATTTTTGCGCTATCCAGAGTATACCAAACCTGCAAAACAGCAGCTCATTACATATAAATCCCAAAATCTCCGCTTTCTTCTCTCCGGAAATCGATTCAAAGTGAGCATCAGCTAGGTATTCAGAGAGCTAAAATCCCGGTTAAAAAATTTTGAAAATTTTGATACCTTAATCCCCTGCTTCTTTCGGGTCTGAAGCCACATTCGCATGATTTCGGAGAAATTATCGCGCGAGAGCTCGAGCTCACCGGCTTGTTTGCTAAAAAATTTTTCGATTTTTTTGGGAAATTAACGTACCGTAGCTCATTCGGGTCGTGTTTTGGAAATCCTGGGAATTCGAGGGCCAGGGTTAGGAGGGTTTTTGTTAACTAAAAAAGGTATTAATAACAAAAATCTCAAAATACCGTAAATATTGTGGTACGGTACTTTTCATCACCAGCAAGCCCAGCGGTGAGTACATCCAAAGAGGGCACTTGTTGGGGTTCTAAACCATAGTTAAAAGATTTAAAGCGCCGGAAATACCAATTTTCAAGACATGCCGGAAGTTTTGGAGGAATTCGTACACCATCAATGCGTCGGCAAAGCCATTTCCTTTAAGTTCGAGGCCTTCGACACGTGCGAGATCGGGAAGTGCCTAAAAATTAAATATAAGATCTTAAGAGTCAAATTAATAAAAATTAGAACATTTTTATCAATTATAAAATGTATCGTACCCGAATTTCATCCAACTGAAGATCATCTACCGGGATTCGGCTACCCTTCGCATCGTCTAGATCTTTAATAGCTTCTTCGACAAACTACAAATATATAAAGTTTATTTCAAATCCTATTAAACAAACCTCTTCCCCATGATCAAACTCCTCCTCCTTCTCCTCCTCCTTGATCTTCTTCGGCTTTTTCGGGATTTTTTCAGGGATGATTTTCGGGGGTTTTGGCCTGTTCAAACGGGCAATCTCTTCTTGAACTTCTTCGGCAGTCATTTTCATGATTTTCTAAAATACAGTCTTGTTTGGATTTATAATTGTATTACCACCTTCTCGCCGGTGTCTTCTTGGAGCTCGAACATTACGAATTCGCCGACCATCATTTTGCAGGAGAACGAGAAGTGATCTCGAGTGAGGCCGTGGGCTTTGTCGAGTCTATTTAGGTGCTAAAATATATTTAAATTTAATAAAATAATTAGTTTTATACCCGAACAACTTCTGCATAAGTTCCAAATTTCTTTCCGCAAGGCGCATAGTAAACTACATCTCCTCGTACTCCGGAAGCTGTGATAGAACGGACAAAAGTTTGACGTCTCCATCTAAAGAATAAAACTTAGTTTAAATAAAGTATTCTATCTAATAGTAGTACGTTATAAATTATTTAATAATGAATATCGTAATTTAACATACCCCATGGTTAAGGTCTTCTTAAGTAATTCAATATCAGGAACGCCAGAACGCCGAGCTTTCGTTTCTTCGTCAATAGGTGTCAACCGTCCCATCGACATTTCCGGTTCCTCCATCACAATTTTCTGTGGCTTCTTCGCCTTCCTCTTGCTTGGAGTAGGTGTTCGTGTGGTCTGGAGCCCGAGCAGCTTGCTCCAATCCACTTCCGGTGTCCCATTTTGGGCCACAGGGGCTGGCCGCTTGCCAAGACCAAGAATAGCCCCAGAATTCTTGATAATATAATCGAGCATGGGGTTTGGAGGTGGCTTCGGGGCTGGCTTGGATTTGGGCTTGGGAGGGGTTTTCTGAAATCAAAAAAAAAAATTCAATATTTGACGATTGGGTTAAATTACCGTAGCCTTTTTTGGGACTTCTCCTGGTTCTAAGTCGTTTGAGGATCCATCTGTATCATTTGTAGACGGTGAAGCGGAAGAATTACCATTTGAAGTGCTGTCATCTGAAATTAAAAATATAATTAAATACATTAAATCCATATACATAATTTTTATATAGTTTTTGACCCACTTGCTAATTTCCGCGCCAGCAATCGATTCAGCATTTCGAAGGGATTTTGGAACCCGTTATTCAAATCGCCCTGAAATTTGCATACGGTACTATAGTATTAAATACAAATTACTGCAATTATAATCTTAAAAAATAGTATAATACCTACCCGTTGCATCATACTTAATAAATTAGCCGCTTGGGCTTGTTGCTGGGCCAGCATAAAGGCTTGGAGCATGTTTGGCTAAAAAAAAAACACATTAATTTTTGTAAATCCACAGTATTTCCCTATTTTTAAAAAGTTACTGGCGAATTCATAATTTTTAAAACTACGCCATTTACAATAAATTTTATCATGATTGCTGAAAAATCCTACCTGAGCCATTAACCCGTTCTGAAAGAGGGCCGCCAAATTCTGCAGCGGATTCGCATTTTGAGGGGGTTGGGCGGCTAAAAAATGATGAAAATTAATTGATAAATAATTTGCATACCTTGCGATGTGGACTGTTGCTGTGCGAGTTGTTGGGCGTATAAAAGGCGTAGTAACTGGTCCGACATCCCAAGTTGAGACGTTGTTCGTTGGCCCTGGAAATGGAAATATGAAAATCGAAAATTCGAGAGGAAAAGGTAAGGAAAACGTTAGAAACTTTAATGATATAAACGAATCAAAAATCGTTTCAAATTCCATCAATTTTTTGGGATAATTAGCATTTTAAAAAATATCAACACTATTAAAGGGACCGTAAAGTCAAAAATATGGTTTTTGATCTTAGAAATTTGCTTTATAACGGTTATATTATTCTACAGTAATCCGTCCTTCCCAAAACTTGATACTCCCCAAAAAACCCAAAGTGGGGCGACTCGTGCTCGATAGCTTGAACTTGGCAGCGGAAAAAGGGGGCTGATTTTTGGTGCTTTTCAAGCAGGGTTTCATCTAAATGGCGCCATTCTTACAGTAAAACGCACAATACAAAACCTCTCATGCTCCACAAAATAAAAAAGTGGCGCGAAAATGCTTGAGGCAGCAAAAAGAGCGGTTTTTTAGCTTTTCTAACTTGTTCATCTAAACCACACCATTCCTACAGTAATCCGTCACTCCCAAACCCATATGCTCAGAATAAAGTTCAAAACAGGTCCAGCTCCTGCTCAATAGCTCGAAAACGCCGCAGTAGCCCCGTGGATGGGGTGGCGCGGGCGGGCCAGCCGGAGCCACAGAGCCACGGCCATAGCCACACAACCCGGGAGTAGACCACGCGACGGGCTGGTTGAGCCACAAGCCCTCCTCCGAATGCAAGGGCGGGCAAACAGCGGGCCCGTGGCGACGACACCCTCATTTCCCAGGCCAGGCAACGCCAACCGGGAGCGGGAGGAGGAAGGGGGGAGGGCCCAAGGGCCCAAACCAGGAGGAGGAGGAGGAGAAGGGCTATGCTGCTGCTGTGGTGGAGGATGTTGAGGATGGCCATCCGATTCTGGGGGGTGGATTGGGTGGACGGGGAAGGTACCGTAGGGGAGAGGCGGTTTCAAGGGATGGTGCCACCTGGGAAGGAGAGAATTTGTTTAAATTTCCAGGGGTTTAAGGAGAACGTGGTATCGAGCTGCAAGTTTAGGAGACTGAGCAAGAGGCTGAAGTATAGGCATTGAAAGGCGGAAAAGAAGCCAACCAGCACGAAAAAAAGCGGAAAAGAAAAAGAGAGTGGGAGAGAGGGAGAGAGAGAGAGAGAGAGAGAGAGAGAGAGGGCGAGAGAGATGGCGGAGATGGGGGAGATACAGATACAAAGCACGTGAAGGTGAGAAAAAGATGAGATGAGAATGAGAAATAGAGTGCGAGCTAGGGGTAGCGAGATCAAGTGTGAGAACAAGAGAGCGAAGGAGCACGAGAGCTAGATATCGCGAGTCGTGTATAGAGCAGACTGCGAAACGAGGAAGAAATGTTGAGTTAGAGAGAGCGAGAGAGAGTGAGAGAGAGAGAGAGAGAGAGAGAGAGAGAGAGAGAGAGAGAGAGAGAGAGAGAGGGCGAGAGAGATGGCGGAGATGGGGGAGATACAGATACAAAGCACGTGAAGGTGAGAAAAAGATGAGATGAGAATGAGAAATAGAGTGCGAGCTAGGGGTAGCGAGATCAAGTGTGAGAACAAGAGAGCGAAGGAGCACGAGAGCTAGATATCGCGAGTCGTGTATAGAGCAGACTGCGAAACGAGGAAGAAATGTTGAGTTAGAGAGAGCGAGAGAGAGTGAGAGAGAGAGAGAGAGAGAGAGATAAGAGAGCGACATACGGAGTTAGAAAAGCAAGCTATACTGCGAAAAGAGTTGGTGAGCAAGAGGTAGCTATTCGTGCTCCTACACGAATAGCTAAGTTGACCTGAGAATCAGCTTCTAAAGGTGCCAAGACCTTTAGGTCCGAATAAATACGATACACGAAACGGCAGTTCCAGAATCCTACCGTAACCCTAACAATCCCAAGATTTCCAATAAGCATAACAACTTCTTGCTCCTCCAAACCCGCCATCGGCTCCCGTTCCATCCCGCCATAGCTGAACCCCGACAAGGGCCCACAACCCATCCACCCACCACCACCCCCAAAACACTCGCCTCGACGACCAGGAGCGGGTCTCCCCATCCTCCTCCTCCTCCTCAACGGCCCTTTTCTGGATGCTGTTCTCGATGGGGAAGGGCCCAGCCAACGAGGAGAAGGGCCAAGACGAGGAACGAGTGGCCCACCGCCGCCGAGACGAAGGAAGGGGGGGCAATGTCGCATAGCATCCTGCCATGGGGCCCTCGTCTTTGTCCTCGACAAAGGAACTCCAGGGAGGGGGCTGGGGACGGGAGGGGGGTGGTGGCCACAGGTTCGTCGTGGAATGCAGGTGCGAGTTTTGCAAGAGCAAAAATTGTTTATGACTGAATTCTAGAGCTTAGCTCTTTTTAAATCCAAGAGTAAAAAAGGTAATTCACGTTGGGACCAGGTGGAGATTTTGTAAGAAAATATTTTTTATTCAGCCTCTGACAGATTTTAGCTAGTTTTTGATTTCTAAACGCGAAAAAGGAAGGTTCGCCGCGGGACCCATGTGGGAATCTTGCAAAAATGGTTTTTAGTAGAATTCTAGCGGACTCTATCTTTTTTGTCTTCCTAGAGCAAAAAAAAGTGGTTCGCACTGGGACCTAGGTCTGAATTTTGCAAAGGAAAATAAATTATTTAAATTCTAAAAGTGTGAAAGTGTGAAAAAAAATAATATTATACATCCCTTAAAATATACTCTTAACCTCACGTTACCGTAGCCTTAAGCAACCTACCGTAACCCAGAAAAGTATATAAATGTTTCCAAGGGTAATGTAGCAAAAAATTGTCGTTTAGCCCCTAGCAACGCCAAAATCTTCCAAAAATTCAGATTTATATTGCTTTCCTGCGATCAAAAACATATTTCTAATATTTTTCAAGGAGCCTCCAATGATCCCTACAGTAGTCCCAGAGCCCAGGAAAACGTTGTTCTAACCCCACTACAGCAAAAAGTTTCGTTTTCTCGTAGCGCAACGTGTTTCTTTTCGGAAGGCGCGAGTAGTTCGACACCGCACCTATCGGCCGAAAAGGGGGGCGCCGGGGAGAAGCCACGCAAAAAGCAATGCGTCATTTCTTCATGGGACTCTCGGACCCCCGGGTAACACCCCCAACAGAATGGGGATCCCGAAAGGTAGCGGTTAAGAGTGGGGAAGTAGTGTTGAGGTTTTTTCAGGTAAAGAGAAAAACGAAAAAGTTAAAAACACGAAATGGCGAGGGGATCAGATTAACATTTTGTGAGGATTAGGATAGCTAAAGAGAGAGAGAGAGGGAGAGAGAGAGAGAGAGAGAGAGAGAGAGCGAGAGAGAGAGAGGCCGAGAGAGCCAGAGAGAAAAAAATAGTGTATAAATACATATTATTAAGAGAAAAACGAAACCTATAAATAACCGGACCCAAGCTTGACATTTTGTGAGGATTAAAACAACTTAAAGTAGGTAAAAAACAATCCAGGACACGCAAAAGGTGTGGTATTGTTGTCTTAACTTAATAATAAAGGTTAGAAAGGATCTTGGGCTTGGCCTGGGGTTAGGCTTAGGATTAGACTTAAGATTAAACTTAGGCTTAGGGTAAGGCAAGCAATAACGAAAAAAAGAAAATAACACGAAATATAGAAGCGACCCTGCCAGTCAGTGAGACTATCTGATAGCAACTAGCTTATCATTAACAGATGTCTCGAAATTTTTCAGATAACTTTTCTAAGCACTAATGGACAATACATCCCGCCAGTCTCCCCTATTTGATACCCACCTACCCACTCCAATCCAATCAATAATCCCCGACCGGGGGTTGCCACTCGGAAATTATGGCCCGAGGTGCCATCCGTAGAACACGAAGAAGGGGATCAATCTGGGTGCCTTATGAAAGCAATTTGTAGATCGGGCCGGGGAGGGGTGCCCTCCTCCCCTCCCCTGCCGCCGCTCCCCCCGAATTAGTGGGCTCAAAAACATCCAGGGAGATCGACTGAAAAGGCCCATTTTTCTTGGTAGGCCCATGGGTTTCGGGTTTTAGAAGAAGGATTTTGCGAAAAAATTATCATGTAATTTACATGGTTTAAAGGGACCTGGAAGGCAACAATGAAGCAATGTCGTAATGTGGAAAATACAACGATAGCTGATAGAGTATGAGGCGTTACTGAAAGGTTTATAGCCTTTAAAGGGACGAGTAAGGCATGAATCCACATTAAACCTTTGAAAAATATCTGCTTTTCTGAGATAGACTTTTGTTTTTGGCGTTCATTTTTCGATGGTATTGCTCGTAATTCGCTATCTTGTCCCCCCGTTACGCTGTAAGTACCGCTTCTCCATGCCCCCCTGCCACATACACGGTGACCACTAATTCGGGGCACACCAGCCGAAGGAAGGAGAAGGACCGAGGAGACACGACTCTCCTTTCGGCCCCAGCCTCGCAACACACCACACCACCCCATCCCCATACCCGCTCGATAGCGTGTGGTGTGTTGGTGGGTGGCCACACCGACCTCCCCCGTGCCGCTCATCAAGATTTTGGCGATGCTTGTGAATGAATTTCGAGGCAAAATGAGGGGAGCGGTGGCCGAAAGGCCGAAAATCATATGAGGGCAAGTCAGCTACAGTATGGCGGAGTGTTCCGGAATTTTGCGGAAATCAGGGCGGCGTATCTAGATACTTCATATCTTTCAGATATTTTTCAGACAGGAGAGCCTCTTATTAATGCGTCAAAGCATGGCTCTTCGGCTTTAGGTCTCAACCGGAAAATCCCGAAATCCCTAAAAATACGTCAAAAATGATGATTCTGCCGTCACCTAAGGCCATTTTTCTAAGATTTTTGTCTTCCGGGTATATTTAAACCTATCATTTAAATAAATATCCTTTAAATACGCGCCTTTAAACGTTTCGAAATCTATAAAACACGCCAAAAATCAAGTTACTGCCTTTCTCCGTGTCGAGTTAGCTTTAGATTTTTGCCTTCCGTGTATCTTTAATGATCATACCATCCCATTAATGCGTCAAACTCGCCAATTTGAGTTTA